CCCAGCCTGGGGAGCAGCCAGGAGCCCTACGTCAGGATGTACGGCCCCTAATGAAAGTGCTCTTCCAGCCACCCTATTTAAGCCAGGTGAGTTTGTTTTCAGGGACTGGAGGCCGGTAAGGTAATGCAGCTGTTTTTAGCATTTTAGCAGGAGGCAGGAGCTGGCCAGGACGCCTGTGACGCTGTGGGTGATGATGGCCATGACTGGGACATATACGGGATGGGCAGCCTGGGCAGAGCTGGTGTGCCTGGAAGTGGAGGGGTTGCCTGGAAGACTGGTGTGGCCTGGACGTCCTGAGAGCCCCAGAACCTCTCCTTGGGGCTCCCTGGGTGGCCACCACCTTTGACTCTTGCCCTAGGGGCACACACTGCTAGAGGCAGCCCCACCTTTCCAGAAAGTTCTCTGGGATCTCCAGAAACTGACCACCCACCCAGGTGCTTGAACGTGTCAGCTGGGAACTTGCAGCTGTTCTGTTGGAACCTCTGAGATTCCGAGCAGAATTGCTCAGAGCCTTCCGATGCCTCACATGACATCCGCTCCCTTGGGGGTGGACAGAGTTTGGCTGCTCATCGGGGTCTCCCAGAACCTCGAACAGTGCTGGCATGAAAGCCGTGAACAACCATCCTGCAAAGCTGGAGAAGCAGGCCATTTCCCCCCTGACGCGCTCAGGACCAGCAGCTGGTGTGAGTCAAAGTCAGCACCAAGGCCAGACCATGACCTGTGAGATACTTGTCCCTCAAGATTACATTTCAGTGGAAAGACTGGCATTTCCCATTCATTCACCTATTTTTTGATGGAGGAAAAAGGTCTTTCTGAGTGTGGGGGGCTCTGTTGCTGGGGGTGGTCCCCTCATCTTCCTTGCATCACCCGCATCTCCAGTGTATCTTGTGCCTTTGCAGTTTCTCTTTCTTTGAAATGGAAGAGAGAAGGAATATGCTCCCAGAGACATTAACTGGAGAGCTTTGGAGCAGACTTTTATACTCTAAACTTGTCCTTTTCATTAATTAATTAACAGAGATTTATCTGGTGTGGACCTCATGCCAGAGCCTGTCCTGGATGCTGAGAACAGAGGAAAAATGAGCCTAGGGAAATTCTGCCTGAGTGCAGCTAGGTCAGTTTTCTGTTTTACAAATGCAGGAACTAAGGCTCAGAGAGGGTGCGTGAATCATCTAAGGCCACACAGCGCCTGTGTGACAGGCTTTGGCCTGTAAGGGGAAAGCTGGCTAGAAGAGATGAGAGAATGGGGTGTCATTCACCAGCAAAGCTGGGTTCAAATCCGCCTCTGGGAACTTGGGTAGGACCTGCCTGCCTGACACAAATGCATATCTGATTGTTCCCGTATCCCATTTTGTCTGTGTTATCCCATGTAAAATGCAGATTCCCCCATCTTTCCTTTATCCCTTTTGTTTCTGTGGGTCCCCTCAAGCCTTAAGGCCTGTGCTCTGCTACAAGCTAGCCAACTTCTTGGAGCCTCAGTTCCTCATCCGGAACAATTACTGCTGGTTCCCGCAGTCACTCAACAAATATTTGTTAAGCACCTACTATGTGCCATGCAGCATTGGAGGCACTGGGATACAGCTGTGAGCCAAACATCCAGCACAGGGCTGATGTGGGAGTTGGTGGGGTGGTGCAGCGGGCCTGGCCGGGGCTCCCTCAGCGAGTCAGGCCCAGGGTGCCCCAGGGCAACAGGGCTACACTACAGGTAGACTCAGCTTGGCAGATCCCTGGCCCTGGTGGCCGTCATATGGGGGCCAGGCCAGGGGCATGTGGGAGACGAAAGAGGATGGGGGGCAGGAAGGAGGGAGAAAGAGGGAGAAGAGAGGAGGGCGCCCTCCTCATCCTCATCCTCCAAAGAAGAAATGACGGCATCGTGCTCTCACCGCCTCATTGTCCTAGTAGGTCCTTCGGACACCCAGCAAGGCAGGCTTCCATTTGACAGATGAGGAAACTGAGGCTCAAAGGTAACATCACTTGCCTAGGATCACTGAATTTCCGAGGGGGACCCAGGCAATCTCCCTTGACAACCCGTTCTCTTCCCTTCGGAGGCAACAAGAAGGAAGGGGAGAGAACGATGGGAGGGGGCCGGAGGGAGGGGCAACAGGAAGTGTTGGAAGCAGGAGGGGGAAGCGGCCCTTGGGGGGCTTTCTGGGCCCTGCCTTATTTTTCCCTCCCTCCTTCTTCTTCTCCTCCTCCTCTTCCTTCTTGTTTGAGACAGTCTTTTTTTTTTTTTTTTTTATTGAGACGGAGTCTCGCTCTGTCGCCCAGGCTGGAGTGCAGTGGCCCGATCTCCACTCGCTGCAAGCTCCGCCTCCCGGGTTCACGCCATTCTCCTGCCTCAGCCTCCCGTGTAGCTGGGACTACAGGCGCCTGCCACCACGCCCGGCTAATTTTTGTATTTTTAGTAGAGACGGGGTTTCACCGTGTTAGCCAGGATGGTCTCGATCTTCTGACCTCGTGATCCGCCCGTCTCAGCCTCCCAAAGTGCTGGGATTACAGGTGTGAGCCACTGCGCCTGGCTGAGACAGAGTCTTGCTCTGTTGCCCAGGCTGGAGTGCAGTGGCATGATCTTGGCTCACTGCCACCTCTGCCTCCCGGGTTCAAGCAATTCTCCTGCCTCATCCTCCTGAGTAGCTGGGAGTACCTAGCTCATTTTTGTATTTTCAGTAGAGATGGGGTTTCACCATGTCGACTAGGCTGGTCTCAAACTCCATCCCCGCTTCTCTGGGGGCTTTTGCTCCTAGGGACTTGGACTCAGTTGAGCTCCTGTGGCAAGCCCTGTGGGACTGGCATCAAAGACTCCTGGGCATGTGGTGGTTAGGACTATTCCCTGATGATGGTGGCCCCACCTTGGGGTTGACTTCTCCCCTCCAAGTCAGGGACCTGGCATTTTTGGCAGCCCTTGGGGGCTATTTTTAAACCTCACAGCTGGTTTTCATCATGGCTGCTGATATGTACGTGTAGAAACATTGGCTCTTGCCAGCATTCTGAACAAACCTTGAAAACGAGCAGGGTTGGAGCAGATCAAAGTAGGGGCTCAGGGAAACCTGAAGTGGCAGCCAGTGCTTTGTCCCCACCCAGACCCTTGTAAGGGTAGGGGATGAAAGAGCACGGCTCAGATAGGAGGTGCCAGGGCAGGAGAGAGCAGGGATTAGGCACGTTTCCCCAGAAGACGTAACTGAATGTTGGGAGACAAGAGAAGGGATCTTTAGCAGCTCTGGTCCTGTCATCCTCATTTTCCTTCTGGGAGGCAGCAAAATACAGAGGTTGAGAGCATGGATTCTGGTGTCCCACAAACCCAACTCCTGCCTTGAGTCCTGACTCAGCCTTTAATAGTTGTGTGACTGTGAGTGTATCATTTAGCTACTGCTATGTAACAAATCATCCCAAAACCTAGTTGCTTAGAACATGATTCTATGAGTTGACAGTTTAGCCTGAACCATCAGATGGATGGTTCTGGTGTGGGCTGGGATCCCTCATGCATTTTTGTGGTCAGCTGCCAGGTCTGCAGGAAGCTCTGACTATCATCTAGGGTGATGGGAACAACTGGTCTCTCATTCTCCGGCAGACTCTTCTCCTGATGGAGACAGGGGTCCGAGAGAGAGAGAGAAGAAAAATGCAAGGCAGTTTGGGGTCTTAGATTTGGCACAGTATCACTTCCAGCAATTCTGTTGGCCAAAGCAAGTCACAAGACCAACCCGACTCAAGAGTTTGGAAATCACCTCTGACTTTTGATGGGAAGAGCTGCAAAACGTTTTGCAGGATACGTTTTTGGCATGGATACAAGGAGGGATGAATTGAGGTCATTTTATAAAAATCTGTGTACCACACTGGGTACCTATATACCTCTCTGAGCCTCAGTTTCCTCAATTGTGACATGTGAATGATTTGGCTTGTCAATCAGAGAAAACGATGAGACAAGTCTCAATCATTTTTGGAGATTTATTTGCCAAAGTTAAGGACGCACCTGGGAAACAGGTCTGTGCCTTTCTCTGAAGATGATGTTGGGGGTTCCAAATTTAAAGGAGAAAGGGTGGGATATTGAGAAACACACAGTTTTCACATAAACAAAAGGGATAAAGGAAAGATGGGGGGATCTGCATTTTTCCATGAGAGAACACAGACAAAATGGGGTAGAGGAGCAATCAGATATGCATATGTGTCTGGCAGGCAGGGGTGACTGCCCTGGTGAAGATAAGCTATCAATGTTTGTGAGAACTAAATAAGGTGAGGTATGTAAAGTCACCTGCATAGTGCCTCATGCAGACTAAGTGTTGATTCCTTGAGAGGAGGCTTACTTCTTGTCACTCCCTATCCCACTGTCCCTGTGAAACATGACCTAGGAGGTCAGCTGCTCTCTGGAGAAACACTGCCTGAAAAGACAATCTGTAGTTGCAAGAAACCCACCAGGACCGGGAGCCTTTTGGTAAATATTTCTTTCACTCTCTGCTTCAGTGATAGAAATGCAAAGTCCCAGTTAAGCAGGATCAAAGTTTATCAGGCATAAGGACACACTGACTGCTGTCTTTCTGTCCTTCAGGCCATTAAGGTGTCTTCCCTCTTTCATTCAACAACATCAAACACCTACTGTGTGCCAGGTGCCATATTAAGTGCCGGGGGACACAGTGGTAGCAAAAGACAACACAGTCCTTGCTCTCAAGGAGCCAACAGTTAACTAATGACAGCAATACACGCCAGTTCAGGTCTATGTCCCTGTAATAAGGTAAGAACTTCAGGTCACAATCCAGATACTCAGTAAATATGGCATTGGTTTATTTTTCTTACGATCAACAGAGTTGTGATTGGATCCTTATTCCACTAGGCTGGGTGGGGAGCTTAACCTCAAGCTGTCTCATATTCTAGTTGCTAATAATAACATTCAAGCGTCCTTAATAGCACACTTGTATTGAGTGGTTACTAAATGCTGGCCCCAGGGCAGGTCTTTCTTTCTGTTGTTTTTTTTTTTTCTTTTGAGACAGGGTCTTGCTCATTGACCAGGCTGGAGTGCAATGGCATGATCACCTCTCACTGCAGCCTGGACCTCCTAGGCTCTAGCCATCCTCCCACCTCGGCCTCCCAAAGTCCTGGGATTTCAGGCATGAGCCACTTTGCCCAGCCACACTTCTATATCATACATGCCACTTCTTGCAGTCTCACACACTCACACACATATGCACACGCCACTCCAGCACACCCACACTCACATGCACACACACACACACACACACACCCCTCTCCTGGGCCACCTTGAGCCTCCACTCACCTGGCTTGAAGTTTGCTTTCCTCAGTTGACCCTGGCCCTGCAAATTGAGAAGCTGCACAGTCGAGGCTGGAGACAGGAGACTTATTTTTCACCTGGCTCAGCCACCAGGTCACTTGCTGCCTCTGGGCTCTATTCCCCTAACAAAAACAACAGTCCACGTTTATTGAGGATGCTGTGGATACAGTCTTACCTAAGACTCACAGCGGGCTCCCGGGAAGTGGAGGCTCGGATAGGGAAAACAGCCTGTCCAAGGCCACCCATGCAGTAACCAGAAGACCGAGGGTTTGAACCCTGACTGTGGAACTGTAGCTACTTTGCTGTGCGACTTCCCAGCCCACTTCATTCTCCCAGTGAGGGTATGCTGCTATATTCCCTTTTCACACACGAGGAAGCTGAGGCTGGTAGAGTGCAATGGCTCCTCACACTGGACTTCTCTGCCTCCCTTGCTCGGAGTGGTTTCCTCCTGCCCCAGCGCCCTGGCCCACTTTGTTCTCTCTGCCTCCCTGCTTTGCCAAGTTCATTTCTCTTCTTCCTCATGGTCTTACCCCAAATACCATTTCTTCAGGAAGGTTTCTCTGACCCCCAAACTAGACCATACTCTCGCTTGAGGCTTTGCCTGTAGGTTTTCTGTTTGCTGGTATCACACGTGACCCCCAGTGCCATGGCCTGAAGCACCTTTTGATTAGCTCACCGGCTCCTTGAGTCAGGCATCTGGGTGGGCTCCACGGACCCTCTGTCCGGGTTCTCAGTGAGCCCAAGTCAAGGTGTCAGCAGACTGCGCCCCCTTCTGGAAGTTCTGGGGAGCACCTGTTTCCTGCTCATTGGAGTGTCTGGCAGGATTCAGGTCCTTGGTTCCTGCCTCTCCAAGGCAGCAGCCTCAGGGTGAGTCTTCCCTCTGCCGCCCCTCTTCCCGTTCCCTCTTGCACTCTGAAGGGCTCCTGTGAGGACACTGGGCCCACTCCAATGGTCCAGGATGATCTCCCCATTTCCAGGTCAGTTGTTTTGCAACCTCTGTTCCATCTGCTGCCCGAATTCCCCCTCACCGAGCAGCCTAGAGTAGTTACAGGTTCTGAGACTGGGGTGAGGGCATTATTCTGTCCACCACACTTCCCTTGCTCTTTCCTGCCACCTGTTCTTACTAAATGTGTCATTATATATTCGTGTGCTGGATTATTTGTTTTCTCTCTGTCTCCCTCCCATAAATATCATCTGCATGACTCGAGTGGGGTACATAATGCCCGTACACAGGAGGCACTGATTACAAATTCCCTGAACAGGTAACAGCACTGGGGCCTGAACCTGCACCTCCATGTCATTCTTCACCAACAAAGTGGTTTGGATGCTTAGTTTCTCCCCTACCCCCCATCAGGTCTGCTGTGTCCAGTTGCACAGGTTGTAAACTGCACAAGTCCAGGGCACTATTTGCACCTTAGTCTCTGTGATCCTCACAGTTGGGTGGGGTCCTTCAGGACCTGTAGGCTAAAGCTCTGCTCCTGAACCTGAGCCTGTGTTCTAAACCTGGAGCCTGTGTTTATAACCTTGGCTGCCCATAGAATCATCCAGAGGGCTTAAAAAATCCTCCTGCCCAGGTCATGCTCCAGACCAACTGTGCCAGAATCTCTAGGGTGGCATTTTACACCCCAGGTGACTCGGAAGTGCAGCTGAGGTGCAAGCCTCCCTCCAGCAGGGATGCAGAGATAATTACATAATAAAGGAAGAGGGCCCCACTGCCCCGCACCCCCATATATTTTGCATAACTGAGGCCGGGCAGCTTCCTCTCCCACAGGCCCATTTCTTCACTCTGTGTGGCTGCAGCTTGGCTCTCCAGCTTCCTGTGACCGATAAGCCGTCCTGCATCATTTACGACGCTGGGCCGACATCTGGCTGCCAGTGTGGTCACCAGCCCTGCTCCACTGGGGGGGCAGTCATCTCTCCCGGTGACAAACTGCCTGCCCGGAGTGGCCTGAGAGGAGGGAGAGCAAAACCACATCATCGAACCGCTTGCTCGGGAGTCACTGGAGGGTTGCTGGCTCCTAAGTTTTACTTGGCTTTGGGAAATTTGCTGGCACATTAGTTGCGAGTATTTTGCTCTGAGGGTGCTGAGCACGGCCTTCGAGGTCTCAGCATCTTGGTTCTAGGCAGGTGATGAGGTGCACTGGTGGCTGGGCCATGGCCGGGTGAACTGAGGTGCTGGGAGCAGCAGGGACCATCTGGGGCAAACTGCCGCCGACACACTGGGTTTCTAGGGTGGACTCGGCCTGAGAAAGGACGGAGGAGGTAACTTGGAGGGGCCTGGAAAGCGTGCAGGCCACAGATGGCACTGTGTTTGCACATTTCACGTTCTGTGAGAAATACGCATGGCCGTCTTGCTCTGTCGAGCCCCGGCCGGGAGGTGTGAGATTGCAGCCCCTTGGTCACGTCCCCTCACGGGGAAGGTGCAGTCCCTGTGGGGACACAAGCCCAGGGATGGGCCCAGCACCCACAGCTAGCCATCCCTGGAGCCCCCCGAAGGAGTCCCCCAGGGCAGCCCTCCTCACCTCTGGACCTCTGCCTCCCCCGCTCCCAGAGGGCTGTGTATCTTTGGCCTCCTGACTGGGGGCCTTGGCATTCCGTTTCTTTCTCTTTCCTCCTCAGCAAAGCTGGCGATGAGATGGAGACAATTCAGGTCTGACTGCCTGAGCAGCAAAGGAAGGCGGATGGCAGCTCGTCCCAGGCAGACCCCGAAGGTGAAACATCCACATGGCACAGCAGTGCACTTGTGGCCACTGCACCCCGTAGTCAAAACTCCGGGATGTCACCATGCTGAGGACTCTGTCACAGCCCCTGCTCTGGCTTGGCCAAGCTCCAGATGGGGACAATCACATGCCCCACCTTGTCCCAAGAAGGAGAAGGAGATGATGGAAGACCAGCCTTCTCCATGGGGCCATGCGGTGACACTTGCTCTTGCTTACTGAGCACTCACGGGGGACCATCCTCAGTCTGCTGCGTATGAATGCCTTCAGTTCTCACAACAGCCTTGCAGCCATGTCAATCCTCCCTGTACTCATCTTGTAGATAAGAACACCAAGGCACAGAGAGGTCAGGTAACCAGCCTGGGGCCGCACAGCCCGTGGGGACAGTGCTGGTGTTGGGACGCAGGCCTGACCTCCCCAGGCGCCCTGAGTCCCGCTGCCCCTTAGAAGGAGGCCCACGAGCCTTGTCTTTGCGGGGCTGTGAGAGGGGACGCTGCTGTCCCCGCTGCAGAGGTCACAGGGGAGCCCTTCCACGGCTCAAGAGGAACCGGAACTTTGGGAACCACATTCTTATCTGCCCCTCACAAGAGCTGCAGCTGGCAACACTCATGAGCCATTAGGGTTGGCTGAGTCCACAGGATGGGGCTTCATCTGCCTACTCGTTCACTCAATCATTCATTCACCGACTCTTTCATTTGTTCAGCCAATGTTTATTGAAGCCTTCTGAGGCCAAGTTCTGGACCAGCTGCACAGCCACGCTGGAGATAAACCCACACGCACGTGCTGTCCATGCTGGGCCAACTGGAAGGATGCCAGAGACAGGTAAAGCGGATAAAGGGAAGGAGGAGGATGGGACAGGAGCCTGCCTTAGGCAGGGCAGTCAGAGAAGGCCTCCGGGGAGGTGGCATTTGAGCAGAGATCTGAATGGAGAGAATGAGCCAGGACCTGGGCGCAGGATGTGCCAAACAGAGGGAACAACCAGTGCTAAGGCCTTGAGGCAGGGGCGGCAGCAGGGCGGCCAGTGCGACCGGAGGCAGTGAACAAGAGGGAGGGTGGCGGGGTGAGGCTGGAGGGGCTGTCGTGGGGAGGGATGGTCAGGTCAGGATGGGCCTGTGCCGCACTGTGAGGGCTTTGGACTTGACTGAGTGAGACGGGGGACAAGGGGGCCCATAAGATTGCTCTGCCTTGTGTTTTAAAGACTAGGGTGGGGCCGGGCATGGTGGTGCGTGCCTGTAATCCCAGTTACTCGAGAGGCTGAGGCAGGAGAATTGCTTGAACCTGGGAGGCGGAGGTTGCAGTGAGCAGAGATCATGCCATTGCACTCTAGCCTGGGCAAAAGGAGTGAAAGTATGTGTCGATAAATAAATAAAGACTAGGGTGTAAGGGCAGAAAAAGGGAGGAAGTGAGGAGGAGAGAGACGTCAGTGGCTTCACATGATGGGGGCAGGAGGCTGTGAGAAGTGACTAGATGCAGGGCTTGATTCTGACTTTGACAAAGGAATTTATGCGGAAGGCGGGACACTTGATGGAGTTAAAATGACTGTCCGGCCTGGGCAACACAGTGAGACCCAATCTCTACCAAAAAACTTAAAAAATAAAGTAGCTGGGTGCAGTGGGTCATGCCTATAATCCCAGCACTTTGGGAGGCCGAAGTGGGAGAAATGCTTGAACCCAGGAGTTTGAGAGCAGCCTGGGCAACATAGTGAGACCCCGTTTCTACAAAGAAAGAAAAAATTAGGCAGGCATAGTAGTCTGCACCTACAGTCCCAGCTACTCGGGAGGCTGAGGTGGGAGGAACACTTGAGTCCAGAAGGTCGAGGCTGCAGTGAGCTGTGATGGCACCATTGCACTCCAGCCTGGGCCACAGAGCAAGACTCCATCTTTAAAAAAAAAAAAAGTCAGTCACGGTGGCTCATGCCTGTAATCCCAGCACTTTAGGAGGCCGAGGCGGGTGGATCACTTGAGGTCAGGAGTTTGAGACTAGCCTGGCCAACATGGTGAAATCCCGTCTCTACTAAAAATACAAAAATTAGCCGGGCTTGGTGGTGCGTGCCTATAATCCCAGGCTGAGGCAGGAAAATCGCTTGAATCCAGGAAGCAGAGTTCGCACTGAACCGAGATCTCACCACTGCACTCCAGCCTGGGCAACAGAGTGAGACTCTGTCTAAAAAAAAAGTGTGATTTTGGGTGAGTGGCTGATTGTCAGGTAGGAGTTGGTGACATGTGATGACACGGGGTCATCGGACTGGCAGAGAGGTTGGAGAACCAAAAACTCCAGGGGGGTAGGAGGAGAATGAGTGTGACTGGAAGAGAACCTGGGCAACTGCGTCTCCAGCCTCCAAGTTCCTGTCCTGCCCTTTTCCAGGCCAGCAGATGCCCAAGGCTCCCCTGCCCCACCCCCTCCAGCCCTTTGTTGCTTTCACTTGAGCCCAGGAGGTGGAGACTGTAGTGAGCCGTGATCATGCCACTGCCCTCCAGGCTGGGTGACAGAGTGAGATCCTTCCAATAAAGAAGAGAGAGAGAGAGAGAAAGAAAAACAGATAGAAGGGAAGGGAGGGAGGGAGGGAGGAAGGCAGGCAGGCTGCAAAGATTTCAGCCTGAGCAGTGAGGGGCACGGAGGGCCCACTGTGGAGATGGGAGATGGGGGAAGAGCAGGTATGAGGGAGCAAATTCTGAGTCCTGCTTTCGACGTTGCATTCGTCTGCAAGACTGCTAGCTAATTCCTGAAAACAGGGCGGCTTAAAGCAGCAGAAATTTAAATCCCAAATCAAGGTGTGGGCAGGGCTGTTTCCTTCTGGAGGCTCTGAGGGAGAATCCATCCCAGCCTCTCTTCCAGCTTCTGTGGGCACCAGAGGTCCTTGGAGCTCCTTGGCCTGTGGCCACGTCACTCAATCCCTGCCGCCGCCTTCACACGGCCTTCTCCCTGCGTCTCAGAGTCTCTTCTTTCTCCTACAAAGATACCAGTCATTGGATTTAGTGCCCAACCTAATCCTATATGACCTCATCTGAACTAATTCCATCTGCAAAGCCCCTATTTCCAGAGAAGGTCACATTCTGAGGTTCTGGATGAACATGAATTCTGGGGGACACTGTTGCACACGGTGCAGATGTGGTAAGATTAAGATGTGATGGAGGCCGAGACGGGCGGATCACGAGGTCAGGAGATCAAGACCATCCTGGCTAACACGGTGAAACCCCGTCTCAACTAAAAAAATACAAAAAACTAGCCGGGCGAGGTGGCAGGTGCCTGTAGTCCCAGCTACTCGGGAGGCTGAGGCAGGAGAATGGCGTAAACCCGGGAGGCGGAGCTTGTAGTGAGCTGAGATCCAGCCACTGCACTCCAGCCTGGGCGACAGAGGGAGACTCCGTCTCAAAAAAAAAAAAAAGATTAAGATGTGATGATGAGCCCGCCTGGCGCTCCTGAGAAGGTGGTGGGCCCTGAGCTGGAGGTCAGCAGGTGGTCCAGGCTGGAAATCGAAATTGGGAGTCATTGTCTTAGCCACTGTCCTGGATGTGACACTGAGGAGGGAGGGTGCACAGAGAATAGGCAAGAGGTCAGAGTCCGGGGCCCCCCCAGGCACCTGTCAGAAGCACCTGGGGATTTTGAGGTGGTAAGAGCTCCCCAGGGCATGTGGGGGTGCAACTTGCATGAGCACCCCTGATTAAAGCTGGGTTGTGTGTGGGACCCAGTGGCTCTCTGATGGCTGTTACATAGAAGTAGATCAGTGCCTCCCAAAAGGACAGGTGTGAGTGGCTCTTGCCATTGATTCTGATGAGCCTCCTCCTCCTCAGAGCAGGGTCTTGCAGGGCTGTGCTTGCCTCCTGGATCTCCTCACCGTTGGCAGGGCCCTTGGAATCTCTGGTAGCCAAAGAGATTGTGTGTGCATACAATGGGCAGGACAGCAATTTGACATTCAAATTTGTTCTCTCAGCCCACCAGCCGCTGGGCCCCGACTTGAATGGGCTTTGTAAATCAGATGACAAGGAGCAGTGTTCTTTCAACCGCCATTACCCTCCAGCCTGGCCTTGTGCTACTACCTCACACCCATCCCCCATGACACCTTGGCCACACACAGGCTTTCTTGGGTTGTCTCAAACATGTTGAGCTCCTTTCAAACTTGGTGGCCTTTGAATGCATTCTTTCCTTTTTCTGGGAATCCTGTTTTCTTCCCCTATTCCTCTCTGGCTGACTTGGATCCACCATTCAGTCTTCAGCTTCATTGTCACTTTCTCCAAGAAGCCTTCCGTGATTGCTCTTCCCCCTGACCCTGAAGCTTGGGCTTGCCCCCTGTTATAAGTTCTCATAGTTCCAATGCTTTCCCATCATTGCACACATCAGAATCTATTTAAATAATTATTTCTGCAGTTATTTGTCAATTATGTCTCTGTTGCTAGGATATAGGGACCTTGCCCGTCTTGCCTGCCATGTCGCCCCCAGCACCTATGACAGGGTGTGGCTCACAATAGCTGGTCACTAACATCCGCTGGTGGAGGGATGGGTCTGGCTGGAGGGGAAGGTTTGGTTCAGTGCCCTGGGGTCAGGGGATATTCCTGATCGTGGCACAGCTATTTGAGAGAGGCCGCAGCATCTGATACAGAAAATAAACCAGCCAGTTGGACCACTGGACATCTCAGTCACTGCCACCACGTCCACAGCCATTGCAGAAGGGGCAGCTCACTCAGGGTGGCCATGTGTGTGGAGACTTAATCCTGCCCCTATGGTGCAGATATTGAACCATGAGTGGGCATCTGACCTAGGGGTATCCAATCATTGGCACCAACAGATGACCTGAGCCAATCCAAACTCTCTTAGGGATTTAAGAAGCCCTGGGAATATAATGCAGATGATGAGATGATAGCAGGGTGTGACGCTGACGGTTTCTGGGGCAGAGGCAAGCCAGGCAGGACATGTTGGCCACCTCTTTGGTGCTCCCCAGGCATGCCAGGCACATTGCAGCCCCAGGGCCTTTGCACTGCCTGGAAGGCTCTTCCTGTGGCTGCATGGCTCGCACCCTCACCTCCTAGGTCTTTGTTCTCATGTTCTCTTTCCAGTGAGGTGTACACTGACCACCCCTCCCACCAATTATAAACTTAATTCTCCCCCATGAACACTTGACTTCTCCCCATCATTTGCATCCCCATCTGACATACTTGACTCTTTTTTTTTTTCTCATAGAGATGGGAGGGTCTCGCTGTGTTGCCCAGGCTGGTCCTGAACTCCTGGTCTCGTGTGATCCTCCTGCCTTGGTCTCCCAAAGTGCTGAGATTACTGGTGAGAGCCACTGCGCCCAGCCCTTTCTTACTCTTGATTGACTTTCTTTCCTCACTAGAATATAGGGAACATGGCTCGAAGAGGGGCCATGAGCATGGTCTGTGGAGTCTGGGAGACCTAGGTTCAAATCCCAGCCTTGCCACTTTTTATGTGTGCGACCTGGGTGAGGGACTCTCTCTCGGGGCCCCGGTTTCCAACTCAGCCAGGGTCACAGTGGGAGGCTGTCATCGAGGCTAAGGTCAAGGCAGGTGAAGGTGTTTTGTCAACTGGGAAGAGTGGATGGGTTTGCGGAGTTTGCCCTTTATTCTAGAAAGGAAAAAATGTATGAAGCTTCCAGATGGGAACTTTCTGTCCCTGCATGTTCCCTGCAGATGCTCCATGGGGATGAAGTTCAGTATTTCTTGTGGAAAGTCATTTCTCATCTCTCGTTGTGATTCTCTACAGAACTAAGGCTTCCTGGGTGCTTTGCATTGCAGCCAGCCACGTTCCAGGGAGGGGGTAGCCCCTTGAACCGGAAGTCCTAGATTGAATCCTGGGATTGTAACTCTGTAACTGCACCAGACCAATCTGGTTCAACTTTTATGTAACAAAGTTATGAGTTGTTTTCAGTTGCCGTGAACCCCCAGGTTGAAGGTCGCATAACCTGGGCGTGCCCAGATAACCAAGCATGCAGCCAGGGACGGAACCTAAGTGCTTGAGCCAGGATGCGGGGACTGAATTAAGAAGTGGACATTGCGTGGCAGGATCCAGGATCCAATCAGATTGAGCCCTGGCGTCACCCCAGGGCAGGATCCAATCAGATCACACCTCCTGGCATCACCTCATGGGAACAGCCAATCAGATCACACCTCATTATCCTACGCTTATAAAACCTGACCTAGCCCTCAGTTGGGAGACAGATTTGAGTGTTTCCTCCTGTCTCCTTGCCATCGGACTCACAATAAACCTTTCTCGCTGCAAAATCTCAGTGCCTTGGTGTTTGGCTTTTTGCTGCATGTGGGCAATAGACCCAGTTCGGTTCAGTGACTGACCTAGTTGGCAGTGAGCTCAGCACATGACGCAGTGGCTCAGGACTCCACTCAGCAAGTTCTCTGGGACTGCGTCCCTTTATTGTCCCATTTTCCAGGGAGGAAACCAAGGCTCACTGTGGCGAAAGGGATGCCCGTGGTCACAGCTAGTGAGTGGAGGAGCGAAACCTCCAACCCAGGCGTGTGGCATACTCGACCCTGAGCACCAAAACATTCTTGCTAGAACCATGACAACAACGTCAACAACGACAAATAACAGTGACTAGGTGTTTGCCATGTGCCAGGCATTGTCCTAAGTGCTCCATGGGAACCATGATGACCACCCCATGAAGGAAGTGCTCTTTCAGATCCCATTTTGCAAATGAGGAAACCAAGGCTAGCAAGCAGTCAGATTGGAATGGGAGCCCAGGAAGCCCGCCTGCAGGAGCCGAGAGCTCACCACTGCACTGTGCTGTTTAGTGGACTGTTCTGTCCTCTGATCCCGGCCGACAGGCTCTCCTAGGTTCTGGTGGTAAGAGTTATATTGATTTCTATGATATGTAACAAATTATCACAAACTTAGTGGCTTCGACAACACCCATTCATTATCTGTTTTAATGAGTCACGAGTCTGGCACGTTCTAGCTGGGTCCACTGCCCAGGGTCAGACAAGGCTGCAGTCAAGGTGGTGGCTGGGCTGCATTCTCATTTGGAGGCTCGAGTGGGAAGAACTCACTTTCGAGCTCCCTCTGGTTGATGGCAGGGTTCATTTCCCTGCAGCTATAGGACTGAGGTCCCTGTGGTTTGTCCAGCTGTTGGCTGGGACTGCTGTCAGTTTCTAGAGACCACTCACAGGTCCTTATCACATGATCCCTCCTGGGACCCTTTCACACTTCCAATCTCTGACTTCAAGAAAGGTTCAGTTCCTTTTAAGAACTCACCTGCTTAAGCCAGGCCCACCCAGAACCACCTCCCTTTTTAGGAACTCCAAGTCAACTAAGTAGTAATTTTCTCAAGGCATGATACACCACCATGTCTACAGTCCTGCCCACATTTCAGGGAAGGGGGTTATACTACAGCAGGGGCCGGGATTCTGGGCCATCTTAGAATTCTGCCTCCCACAAGGGATGGGGGCCTTTCTGTGCTGTGAAGGAAGACAAGGGTTCTCTCTGGAAGGATTCCCAGCCACAGTGCCTCAGAAAGAAAAGTTAGCAAGAGGCATGGGCCCCTTTCCAAAGCCTCCCCTCAGCCGGCTTTGGGAATTTCTCCAAGTCTTGGGCACTGTGTTTGGCAATCAAGTGTGGATTCAGCTCCTGTGTGGCTGTAACCTTTGCAAGAGAGGGAGAGAGCGCACTGCTAAGGCCGCTTTCTGTCTTGAGTGACACAAAACCAGACTCCACTGACTTAAGAAAAACGATTTGTGTGTAACTGAAATGGTCTAGGTGCTGGCTGGCTTCAGGCACAGATGGATCCAGGGGCTCAAAGGCTGTCATCAGGACTTGATTTTTCTCCATCGCTTACTCTCCCATCTTTTTCGGTCAGATTCAGCCCAGGGCTTACCTCCTCCCACCTCCCCTTCCAGTAGAAAGTCAGATTCTTTCTTCCCAATAGGGGCACAGAAGTAACTCCTGTTGGACTGATGTGAGTCATGTTCCCATCCCTAAGCCAATCACTGAGGCCTGCGGGATGAAATAATCGGATTGGCCAGGACTGAGTCACATGTCTACCTTGGACTTTGAGAGTGGGGTTTTCCCTGCCCAGACTGCTGGAATTCAAGTTGTGGTGGTGGTGGGGGGGTCCTCTCAGAAAATCCTGAGTGCTGTTTCCAGAAAGCGTGGTGATGCACACCTGGGGTGGGGTGGCAGAAACAACAGTTGTCTTCCCCAATATGGCGAGAAAGTGGAGTGGTGTAAGCACCTCCCCATCCCACACCATCCAGGGGCCAGAGGCGACTGAGGGGATTATGAAGCCAGTGGGGCTGTGGGCGGGGGATGGGGGTGAGCGGGGAGGGGGAACTAGTAGCCCCTCCCTGAGGTGGCTGAATAGAGGGAGGGGCAACAGAAATGCAATGGTCTCAGGGGAAGAAGGAGCCTTCCCAAGACTGGGAAGGGGAGGGGGTCTATGACTGCGGAGACTGTTTCCTGGGGGCAATGTCTCCCAGGGGCACTGGCTTCCCCCAGTGTCAGGGACTCCGGGTACCGCCAAGTTCTCCAGCCTCAGCTCAGCCAGAGGCTGCAGATCCGCCCTGTCTGGGGATCACCAGCCTCTGACAATGAGCACTTCAAGGTGGACAGTGTGAACCGAAGACCAGCCAGCACCTGCAGTGTCCCACCTGGGGCAGGACCGTGACTCTCTACATTACCTGGGGGCGGTGGGGCAGGCCTGGCTGTGTGATTTGTAAGGCCCAGGGCAGAATGAAAATGCGGAGCCTCTGGTTCAAAACGATGGAGGATTTCGAGGCCGGGACAGCAGAGCCTCAGAGCAAGGCGGCACTCTGAGCTCAGGGCCTGTGGGGCTGCCTGGCAATTCCCTGTGGGAAATCAAGTTTCATCTGGCTTAGAAAAACAGTCAAGTGATGCCTCCTGCCCTCACTGGGGTGTCCTTTTTACCCCGGGCACTTCTCCTGGGCTCCTGCCCTCCTGGCACTGAGGTAAGAGGAGACACACGAAACCTTGCTGGCCTGGCCAGGAGGAACCCAAAGCCGTCGTTTCAGACAGACGAACCTGAGCCGGACGTGAACCTGGGTTCAGACCCTGCCGTTGCTGTGGGTCAGCGGCTGTTCCGCCTGTGGAGCAGCATCGGGTGGGCGCTGCCTGGCACCGTGGCTGTGAGGAGAACTTCTGCATGGCATGGGTGTACTTCACGGGGGGTGCGGCCCCCCTGTAATCGCTCTGCAGTCTGGGCGCCCTGTGATGGGGGCCTGGTCCTCGTCCGCAGCTGTCTAGGCTGGCTCCGGTGTGAGGTGAGGAGTTAACCCCCACCCTAGGTTCCCTCGCTTCTCTTGCCACCCACCTCCCCACCACCAGCCCCTGACTGCCTCCCTGCTGTCGCCAGGGTCCCTTTGCTTTGTGCTGAGGGGATCCTGCCACCTCCCCCTCCCCTATGTGCCCCATCTGAAGGCGTCCCATGGGTCCCCAGGAGTAATCGGGCAGGAGCCTTCCCCAGCGCACATCCCTGAGTCTGCGGGCAGGGGCCTGTCCTGGCCGCCATTGGTCAGAGGCGTCGCAGGGCTGTCCTGGGAATGTCCCCAGAACAGCAGTGTCCTTCCAGTGCTGGGTTCCATCCTACAGCGTGGTTAATGGGCGTGTAGAAGGCACAACGTGCCCAGCTGCTGCCCAGAACAGAGTGGACGTTGCCTGGCTGGGAGCTGATTCTCTTCTGGGACTGCGAGATGCAGAGAAGTACCATGGGGAATGGCTGACAAGCGTGCTGGCCGCAGGCCAGTGCCTAGCTTATCTCCTGTAGCTGCCTGGTGACAATCTGACTTTTCCCAGAGCTCCTCCCACTGTCCTTCTTGACAGTGGGGTGGGTCACTCTGACCTCTTGATTGATTTGCACTTTGACCAAAGGGGAACCGCGGGGGAGGCTGGAGAAGCCAGGCCTGAGGTGAAGGCATCTGTTGAAAGCCATCTCTGGGTTGCACTGTCTGAAAGCCAAGCGATGCCTGAGTGAGGCCGGCTTTGTGGGCGTGTGACTTGGGTGGTCATATAGACACCTGCACTCCAGAAGGACCCCACGTGCCAAAGGACCTCATGGCTGGTTTAATGCCCTACTGGTCGCTATTGGTTTAAGGCTCCCTTTGAACAGGGACCTTTCTTTTTCATTTTGCACTGGGCCCTGCAAATTACACAGCCGGTCCTGGCCCTCGGTGGCCCCACCACGGGTTTCTTACCAACAATTCGGTAATGTCTGTTTTCTCCCAAGCGACGCCCCTTGTTGTGGCCTGCTGGGGGCAGTTCATCCATTCTGGTTCAGAGTCAGTCCTGAACCCAGGCTGCAGAGCCCGGAACCTCCTAGTCCACAAAGGGCAGAGGTTCCTTCTGAGGAGGCAGGGAGAGGACAGGGTGTGCTGTGCCCACATCCTCCTCCCCTCCCTAGACAGCATAAGTCCCCAAAGTGCTTGGGATGGGGGGTGACCATCCACAGGGATGCCTCGGTGGGGACCACACGTGGTTAGTGCCAGGATCTGGCCTGGACCTTGGCATACATCCCCTCCTGGCCTCCCTGGGGACGGGAGGGACGGACTATGCCAGGGTTCCCAGGGCTGGGTTCTAAGGGAGCTTTTTAAAACAACTTCCTGGTCCGGAAAGAGGAGGACACCAATTAAGTGCCTGGCTGAGGCCTGAGACCCAGATGGCCTTGAGTCCAGTCTTTCACTTAAAGTCCAAGTTTCCAAGAACCTGTCAAAGAAGGTAAGTGAGGACTGACTGTACATGACTTTTGTGATGGAAGAGAGGGAGAGGAAGAGAAAGGGTTTTTACCCAGTGGAAGGGGATGAGTCCTGGCCCGAATCCTGGCTCTGCTCTGGCTGGGACTCAGGACCTTGGCTTTCTCCTCTTGGAAGCGGGGCTACTGACAGTTCCTGCTCGACGGGGTAGTGTGAGGAGGCAGAGGGCCTGTGCCCATGGGAGCTCGGACCCTGTGGATTCTCTGTTACTTGAAATATAGCCAAGTTGGGATCTTTCCAGAGACCCCTCAATCTGGGACTCCTTCCAAAGGACACACCTTCTGACACTGGAAGAAGCTTTCCAAAGAGCTCCCCAAAGGTGAGGAAAAACACACACCACAGTTTATTTACAAAGAAGTGGGATTTGGGGAAGAAAGACTGGAAAGGAAGTTTCCATTTTTTGCTTTCTATACGTCGGTATCTCTGAGCGCCCTGGGGCTCCTTGAGCAGTTCAAGGGGTGACCTTGAACTTTGAAGAGGAGTCGAAAGGCAGTAAAGAGAATCCTCGT